GTAGTAACACTTCATTTCACTGCCAACACAACTGCATCCCCTCCAGAATTGTTCATCAAATTCCTTCTACTTTCTTCTGATTGTAGTAGAGCATAAACTTGCTGGACAAATGGAAGATCCTTGCTACCTAGGATTTGGACTCTGATAGATTCATATGTAGGATTCAAGCTATGGAGGAAAGCAAACACTCTTTGCTGGGAAACAAGTTTCTTGTACAATTTTGCATCTTCATCACACTTCCAGTCCACACTCTGATAATGATCTAACTCCTTCTGGATAGAGGTCAAGTCTGAATAGTACACAGAAAAGCATCTCTCCCCTTGTTTACAAGTGGACGATTCTGCCTGTAACTGGTAAATTTTTGCATAGTGACGCAACTCATAATAGGTTGATTTTGCTTGTTCCCATATCTCATTTGCCGTTTCAGCCCACATAAAATTCCTTCTTATTTGAGGTTGCATAGACACTAAAAGCCAGGACATGACCATGCTGTTTTCTTGGTTCCATTTGTCATATTCAGCACTCCCAGATTTGGGTTCTTTGATTCTCCCATTTATATATCCTATCTTTCCCCTTGCAGTAATGTATAACTTGATCCCTCTTGACCACTGTAAATAATTTAAGCCATTGAGGGGAATAACAGCCATGGGAAAGGATAGGTCCACACCCCCACTCATTCCATTCTGCTTTGAAAAAACATCAGATGTAGCAGAATCTTCACCGCTCATGGTTACGGGATTCAAAAGGCTCTTAAAGTGGGCACAAAGCCTTTAAAAAAGTCTAATACCTAGGGAGAAAGGAACCCCTTTTTTTTTGTTAAACACAGGTGCTGTTACAGCACTAACAGGTCATCCCTTGACCTACAGAATCAAAACTGGTTGCTGTCACAGTGCATACAGGTCACCTCGTGACCTACACATCAAACAGAGATGCTGTTAAAGCATGTACAGGTCACTCTCTGACCTTCAGGTTCACCATAAAAGCTGCTATTGCAGCACACAAAAGGTCTTCACTGACCTACAGTTTTTTACAGGGATCAGTTGACCCCACAAAAAATGAAAGAAAGAGGTGCTGATCACCTCACATCCAACTAGCAGACCTAGTACAGGTTCTGCTCTGGCGCATGACCAGAAAGAAAGAGAAGGAGAGAGATTACTTCAGTGCATGAGAAAACTGGATCTTCAGTCACCCGAACAGTAGATGAGGACGGCAGATCTAGAAATCTGGTGCGAAGGAAACAGTTCACTCGATCTCTCCTTTCAGATTTGATAGTTCCGCTCTGATACCATGTTACGCAGGAGAGAAGAAGGGAGGAAGAGAGGAGAGAGAGAGAGAGAAGAAGAAGAAAGAAGAGATATTTGAGAGCCAAAAGTGTTGTTGGCGGCGCCAACTATTAGTATTTATACTAGGGCGATAGAATATAAAAAATAAAAGGAGAAAGTTACAATAGTACCCCTGCGGTACTATACTTAAAGAATTAGCAGTTTTTTAATAGGCCCTTGGGTTTGGCTGACTAAGGAGGGGGTAACTTCTTTAAGCCTCAGAGATAGAACCTTAGCTAGAATTTTGTAAATGCTCATCACCAAGCTAATTGGTCTGAAATCCTTCGGATGAATAGCATCAGGTTTCTTAGGGACTAGGGCCAAAAACGTGGCATTGACACCCCTGCTCACTATGTGATTATCTGCAAATTCCTTAAAAACCTCAACCAAATCATCCTTTAGTACTTCCCAATAATCTTGGTAAAATGCCATAGTAAATCCATCTGGTCCAGGTGCCTTAGATCTATCCATCAGGAACACTGCCTTCTTCATTTCAGCTTCTTCAAAGCTTCTTTCCAATCACCTCACCTTCTCTTCTCCCAAACATGGCCAATCCAACCCTTCCATAGACAATCTTTCATTCAAAGGCCTTTTATTAATGGACTTAAAGTGGGTCACAAAGGTTCTGACTATTTCGTCCTGATTTGTAATCACCTCCCCTTCTACCTCTAATTTGGCCACAAAGTTTTTCCGCATTCTTCCACTTGCCAGATCATGGAAGAATCTAGTGTTTCCATCACCTTCCTTAATCCACCGGTGTCTTGACTTTTGCCTCCAACAAATTTCCTCTCTAAGCAAGACAACCTCTAATTCCAACTTCAATTGACTTCTTATCTCCCTGCCATGTGCATTCATTATCCTTTGAGCTTCCTTCTCATCCAATTTGTCAATCCGAGATATTAAACTCAATTTCTGTTCCTCAATTCTACCAAAATGGTCCCTATTCCACTCCAGCTTGGATCTTAACCTTTGTAGCTTCTTATGAAATCTTAACCACATGTTTTCAAATCTAAATGGTCTAGGCCCATTAACAAATGACTCCACACCTATCTTAATAGGGCAATGGTCAGAAGTGACCCTAGGCAGGGCTCTGGACACCAAGGTTCCCCAGTGACCTTCCCAAGCTAGGTTGAAAAGGAATCTGTCCAATTTTAAGCATAAGGGGTTTTCTTGAAAGTTAGACCAAGTGAACCTAGCTTGCAACAGAGGGATATCCTTTAGTTCACACTCTTCTACAAGATCATTGAACTTCCTCATGCTTGTTGTAGTTGACTGAGAAGGGTTACTTGTTTCCTCAGAGAATCTTATGACATTAAAATCCCCTCCCAGGCACCAAGGACCATCCCATAAACCTTGTATAGCAGACAACTCCTCCCACTGTTCATTTCTTTCTCTATAATTGTTAGGGCCATAAACATTAGTTAACATCCAAATGAATCCATCCTTCATATTCTTAAATTTGATTGAGACCGAGAACCTACCTATCATTTGTTCCACTGGTTCCACTACCTCATCATTCCACACTGTGACAATACCCCCTGATGCTCCCCGTGATGGAGCTGAAGACCAGCTTACTCCCCTTGATCTCCAAAAACTTCTAACCCAACTTCCCTCCATTTCTGACAATTTTGTCTCTTGCAACATCACAATTTCAGGTTTTTCCCTCTTCAGTAAGTCCTTTATAGTTCTCCTCTTTCTTGCACTCCCCAACCCTCTCACATTCCAACTTATAATTTTTTTCATAGATACATTTCAATCAATGACCCTACTTGACCCTATTTCTTAACTGATGTTTTTTTTTTATTTTTTGATCAGCAAGAAATTTTATTAATAAACTAGCAAAGGTTACAATCAGTTACAAAAGTTATAGGTAGCAGAAAAGCATTAATCTAATATGCACCCACAAACAATCAGAATCAGTTACAGTTCTGCCCAGTACAATGTAGATCTATTTGCCCCTTGTATTACTAGGGTATCCGCCATCCCATTTGCGCTCCGTTTGACCCAACCAAACTGAGAGTTGATCCTCCTTGTAAGTATGTCAATTTCTCTAAAGATAAATTTGAGCTTCCAAGGTACTGAAGCGATGTTTTTAGCCCAAGAAATGACCAGTAGTGAGTCTCCTTCTATTTCTAAGTCTGTTATTCCTATCTGCTCAGCCATCTTTAGACCTTGAAGTAGGGCTAGAGATTCAGCCTGTATTGAGTCACCAATACCTATTGGTCCTGAGAAGAGTGCCACCACCACACCCTGATGATTTCTAATCACACCCCCTATGCCTGCCCTTACCATTTCTTACCTGATGTTCTTCCTCCTCTCTCCCCTCCCACTGAACTCTAGATCACCCTCAATGTCAAAGATTAACCTTTCCACTTCAGACTTCTTTTCTTTTTCTTTTTCTTTTTTTCCTCCACCTTCCTCTGAAACATTTCCTCTCCACCCTCTTCTTTACCTAATCCATCAGTTCGGTTTCTACCTTCAGGTTTTGGAAGTAGACCAGTCCCCTCACTATCTCCTTTTTCCACCTCCTCTTCCTGTTTACTACTCAAGTCCTCCCTCTGAACATTATCTTCCCCACATCCTTCCCTTCTCCTAAGCTCCTCCAATTCTTCACAAATCAATCTCCAGAACCTTTCCACCTCCTCTTCCTGCTCCTTGCATACTGCTGCTCCATTCTTTTCTTTAACCTTTTCAGATCCCCCCACTTTCCTTTTCCACATACCACCTCTACCCCTTACAAAATGGGATGCTGGAGTATCTGCAACAGGCTCAACACGCATGTCAGTACCAAAAACCAAAGGGAAAATAATACCTGGAGAGGCAGGGGCTGACTGAGGAGTACAGAAGCTTTTTAGATGGGGATTAGAACAAGAGGACGTAGCTGCTATTCCCCTCGTTTGATAGGACAAGTAGTCTCCCTTGGCTAGTCTATTTGCTGAAAACGTCTGTCCCTGTATTGTCCTTTCTGGGCTATCCTTGCAGATTTCCTTTGTAGTGTCCTTCTCCCCTTTGCTAACTTCTTGACAAAACTGAGAGGTTGGAACAGCCCCCTCGATGGAAGGAGAAATGGAGTGCGCAGCATCAGACCCAGGCAATCGATCCACACTCTCTATCTCCATCCCCTTTATCTTCTTCCAGAAATAAAGTTTCTGTATTAAAGCTTTCCTTTTCCATGAACTTCACTTTTTGATGCAGATCAACACTACCCAAACCGACTGTGTCATCAGAGCCTGATACATCACTTCCTTCGTCCTCAGACCAGTCGCTGTATCTTTTAAAGGCTTCTCAGTTCTCTCATGAGCAATTAGGAACCAATGGGGGAATACACTGATTGATTCTTGTTTTTATGTATGAAAGGAATTGTTGTATATGTTTGTGCATAGTACTTGCTCTTATTAACCATGTACATCTTTTTGTAATTTGTGCTTCTGCCCTTTCATTACTTTTACAAATCTAAAGATTTATAAAGAACATGGTACTTCATCCTTTGATAAGATGCTGAATATTTGAATATGAATTTTTCTTACAATTTATCAATACTGAACCACTTATCTCTTGATGCTATATTCTCTACAATGTTTTATCTGTCTCACCTTGTTGATTTCTTGTTCCATATATTTTTTTAATTGTTCTTCCTTCTATTCATCAAATTTGTTGCTTATGTTATTGTTCTTGTAGGTTTTAGATCAATATAAAGAATCTCGTGATGCCCGGTTGAAAGAAGGTGCAGAAAGCTCTCGAAGTTTGCCTAGAAGTGTCATATTGGTTGGACACTCCATGGGTGGTTTTGTTGCCAGAGCTGCAGTTGTCCACCCAAATTTGAGGAAGTCAGCCATTGAAACTGTAGTAACTCTTTCAAGCCCACATCAGTAAGCATTTTTGTTTCTTGAACAAAACTTTGTAATTCTCAACTATTATGCATCTATCTATTGCTTGATGACATTGAACTACTTCATGCAGGTCCCCTCCTGTGGCATTGCAACCATCCTTAGGTCATTACTTCTCACGTGTAAATGAAGATTGGAGGAAGGGATATGAGGTCCAAACCACCAACACAGGTCGCTTGGTTTCTAGTCCAACACTATCTCATGTTGCTGTTATCTCCATTTCTGGCGGCATCCGTGATTATCAGGTTAATTTTGTTTGGTCTGCACTACAATTATTTTCTGGAAGGGCCAAACCCAAAACAATTTGCTCCTCCTTACACCTTTAGCCAAGGATTGAGCTAGTCCATTAGCTTAACTAGGGACCCATTAGAATGAGATGTTCCCCATGGAAGCCAAAGTCCCAAGTGTTTCTAAGATGATGTGAAGACCTCACAACCCTTTAACCATACTATTAGTCCAATTAATCAGAGTCTGAGAATTCTCCCCATCTGTATAGAACTTAAAATAAAACGTAGTTGATGTAGCAAACATTGACCAGTGATGTATATATTTTATATTTTAACTTCACAAAGTCAATTTTCTAGAGCTGTGTCAGTAGATCATAGATGTTACATTTCCTGATTGGTTTCTTTTGCAAACTAAAACAAATGTATTTTGTGTATGTTGACTCAATTTTTTTCAATTCCAGGTTCGGTCAAAGTTGGAAACCCTTGATGGTATCGTGCCCCCAACTCATGGCTTTATGATAGGGAGCTCAAGTATGAAGAATGTGTGGGTTTCAATGGAACACCAGGCAATTTTATGGTGTAATCAATTAGTTGTACAGGTTGGCAAAAGGTTTCCTAATCTATGCTTTAGTTTAGTGGAGATGCTGGTGAATTGCTTACATTCCTTTTGCAGGTGTCCCATACTCTTCTTAGCTTGATAGATTCCGAAACGGGTTATCCTTTTCATAGCACAGGAAAAAGACTAGCTGTATTCACCAAAATGCTTCGAAGTGGAATACCACAGAGTTTTAAATGGGTGGGGCAGTTACAACCATCTAAGATTTCGACAAGTGAAAATGGAAAAATTGCTTCAGGTATTTTCTGTTTTCCCTTTTCCCTTTGCTGCTTGGATTAACTATCATGGCTGTCAAGGCATATAGGAAATTCTAGGCTAAATGCCTGGTTGCCTAGGTGCGCTAGGCAATACAAACTTACAAAGAAAAAAAAAACTAAATTCTTGTTTAGCTCTCTATTTTTATATTACCAAACAATATGGATATAAATTGAAAAAATAGGTATGCTGTTTACTAATTACATTAATTTTCCTTTGCAAAGGTAAGAAAAGTTACCTCTCCTTACGAGGTAGGATTACTTTGATCAGATCCGCCCTAGCTAACCTACTTGTGTATTATTTATATATATCTGTATTTAAGATGTCAGAGGGGGTGGGAAAGAATATGAAAAAGATGATGAGGGATTTCTTACAGGAGTCAAGTGAGGAGAAAAGGGGATTTCAATGTAGTGAGATTCACAGAGGAAACCAACAACCCTAGACAGAGAGTGACAACCAGTATGAGAAAATTCAACCAGTTTGTGGATACTTTTGAGCTTAAAGAATTTCCACTCCTAAATAATAACTCCACCTGGTCCAAACTTCAATCAAGTCCAATATGCTCTAAGTTGGACATGTTTTTGTTTCCAACAGATTGGGAGGAACATTGGGGTAATCTAACATCTAGGGGACTTCCTAGACTTACTTCAGATCAGTAGCCTATAGTGACGTGTAAGGTGGAAATGAGAGGTGATGGACCTGCCCCTTTCAGGTTTGAGAACATGTGGTTGATCCATCCATGCTTTATTGAGAAAATCAGAGTGGTGGGAGCAATTTAACCCGTCAGTAGAGTGGGAGGGTATGAGATTCTACAAGAAGCTTCAATTCCTAAAATCCCAAATAAAGGATTGGAGCAGGTTGGAGTTTGGAAGAGTGGAGGAAAGAAAACAAATCTTGCTGAGTAGATAGAGGAATTAGATTTGAAGGAAGAAAGGGGATCCTTTGGAGAGGAAGATAGGGAGACGAGATGGAGTTTGAGGAGGCAGATGGAGGATCTCTTGCGTAAGGAGGAAATAAGCTGGAGACCGAAATCTAGGTGTGAATGGTCAAAGGAGGGAGATAAAAACACTAGGTTTTTCCATCCAGTGGCAAATGGTAGGAGAAAAAAGAATTTCGTATCAAAATTGGAAGTAGGAGCAGTCATATCCCATCCAATAGAAATAGCAGAGGCCTTTGTAAATCATTTCAAATCTATTTTTAGAAGGCCTTTAAATGAGAGGGTTTGGAGTGGCCAACTCTAAGTGCAATGAACAGAGAGTGGTTAGAAAAGAGATTTGATCTGGAGGAGATAAAGGAAGTAGTCTTCACAATGGGGAATAGTTTCACATTCATTGGGTCAGTTTCACAATGGAGAAGGATCTTGGGTCAGTTTTGAGGAGTTTCATAGAAGGGGAATAGTTAATCTAGGTTTGAACTCCACATTCATTGCTTTGGTCCCAAAGAAGAAAGAGGCATCACAACCAAGGGATTTTAAACTTATTAGCATGGGGAATAGTTTGTATAAAATAATTGCAAAAGTGTTGTCTCTAAGGATAATGAAGGTTCTTCCTACCATTATTGCACCCAACCAAGGAGCTTTTGTGAAGGGTAGATAGATCACCGATCAAATCTTGATTGCAAATGAGAGTTTGGAGAGCTTTAGGAAATTCAAGAAGGGAGTGGTATGCAAACTAGACTTAGAGAGGGCTTATGACCTAGTTGATTGGTCTTTCTTGTTGGAGTTGTTGAGAAGTTTTGGCTTTGGAGACAGTTGGTGTAAATGGATTTGGGGCTATGTTAGGAGTTGCCACTATTCTATCTTGGTGAATGGAATTGTGGTTGACTTCTTTCCCACCTTGAGAGGAATAAGACAAGGAGGCCCACTTTTCCCCTTTCTATTCACTCTGATTGTAGATGTCCTTGGGAGATTGATCCATAGAGCTGATTCGAGGAATTTAATAAAAGGGTGGGGAGTAGGAAGGGAGGAGGTACCACTTACACATCTGTAGTTTGCAGATGACACAATCCTGTTCTGTGAAGGTGGGGACATAAATTGGATCGGGAATTTAAAATTGGAAAAACAACTCTTTGAGCAGATGTCTAACCTCAAGGTGAACTTTGATAAGAGTTATATGGTGGGAGTGAATTTGGAGGAGAGGGAATTAAGTAAATATGCAGGTGTGTTGGGCTGTGCAATCTCGGATTGGCGGTTGATTTACTTAGGCCTGCCCTTAGGAGATAATCCCAAGAATGAAAGCTTATGGACCCGGTAATGGAGAGATTTGAGAAAAGGCTTGCTTCTTGGAGGAAAAATTATCTTTCCTTGGGGGGGAAAGTCACTTTGATTAGGTCTACCCTAGCTAACCTACCTATTTACTTCCTGTCAGTGTTTAAGATCCCCACAAAGGTCTCTAACATTTTGGGAAAGTTAATGAGGGATTTTTTGTGGGAGCCAAGAGAGGAGAAGAGGGATCATAGGGTTAGTTGGGAGTTGGTAACTAGATGTAAGAAGCTAGGAGGTCTTGGGATTGGGAATATCAGGAAAAGGAACATGGCATTGCTGGGGAAATGGTTGTGGAGGTTTCCCTTAGAAAGAGACAAATTGTGGACAAAGATTGTGGCTAGCATACATGGGCTGGAAGACAACAGTTGGGATCTTGGAATTATGGCAAGGGCTACAACTGCTTCTCCTTGGAAAGCCATTCATGATCTGCTTCCAGTTTTCTCCCCTTGGATCAAGTATGGCCTTAACTCAGGTAATAGAATAAAGTTTCGGGAACAACATTGGGTTGGAGACTCACCTCTGATGGACCAAGTTCCCTCATTGTATGCTTTGTTAGACTAAAAAATGAACCTATCTCATCTTTCTTTGGTCCTTTAGAATCTACTTCTAGTTTTGGGTGGAACCTAGGCCTGAGAAGGGCAATTAGGGATACTAACTTGGTCTATATTTTGTCTCTGTTAGCTATCCTTGAAAATGTTTTCTTGTACCCTAATAAGGAGGACACTAGATTTTGGACCCCTTCCTCATGTACTTTCGCTTGTGCTTCGTTTTTTGAAACTTTAATTCAGCATCATATTCCTCTTGGGTTGTCCTTCCTGGTTAAAGAAATTTGGAGCAAGCCCATTCCTCCTTGGGTGGTAGTTTTTGTTGGGAAACTTTCCTAGAAAGAATTAACACAAATGATCTGCTTCAGAAAAAGAGACCCAATTCTTGTTTACTTCCTAGTAGGTGTACTCTCTAAAAAGTTGATGGGGAAACTGGTTACCACCTTATGGTTACATGTTCGGTTGCTAAAACTGTATGAGAGTGGGCTTTCTCCCTTTTTGGGTGTATTTGGAATCCCCCCGTGAGTGTGCAAAGTTTGCTCTCTCCGTTTTTTAGATGGCCTAAGAAGAGAGGGAAGACTATGTGGAGAAGCATTAGGGCAGCAGTGTGTTGGTCCCTGTGGGAAGAAAGAAACTCACGAATTTTTTCAGACAAGGAAAGAACCCTGGAAAACTTATTAGATCTGATACTCCTAACGGTAGCCTGCTGGCTGAAATCTATGGAGCTGTTCTCAGTTTATTCCATGGCTGACTTGTTAAGAAATTGGAAAGAGATAGCTCTACCTCTGTCCAATGTATGAGGACTCTTAGCCCCTCTTGGTCCCCTCCTCCCTCTGGATTCATAAAACTCAGTTTTGATGGTAGTAGCTTATGGAATCCAGGGCCTTCTGGGAATGGGGGAGTGTTCAGGAATGAGGATGGGGTTATTACTGCCATGTTTTCAGGCCCAATTGGAGAAGGAGACTCTCTTAGGGCTGAGGCTGAGATTTTTGCTGTTCTAGAAGGAATCCAAAGAGCAAGAGAACTGAACATTAGACGTTTGGTCCTTGAAGGTGACTCGGAGGTGGTGGTTAGATGGCTAAAGGAAGATAACATTGGTTTGTGGAGCTACAACAATGAAAGGAAAAAATTCAATTGGCTGAGTAGGGACATTGAGGTGCAATACAGCTGGGTGAAGAGGATTGCTAACTCCTTTGTAGATGGGTTAACCAAGCAAGGGGTGAATAGGGAATCTCTGTTTTGGGCCAATTTTTAATTTTCTTCCATTGTATTCTGTTGGTGGGGAGTTAAGACATTTTACCTCCCCCTTTTGTAATTAAAGTTTAACAAAGCTTCAACATCATTAATAAAGTTTATTGTTATTGATAAAAAAAGTGAGGAGAAAAGCGATCATAGAGTTATTTGGGAGGTAGTTAGCAGAAGCAAGGATTTGCAGGAGAGAAATGTGGCTTTATTGGGCAAATTGCTTTGGAGACTACCTGCAGGTGGAGACAAATTATGGGCAAAGGTAGTTGTAAGTATTCAAGGGCTTGCAGCGAATGGTTGGGATGCTGGAGTATTGACTAGGGCTAGAAGAGATTTTAATTGGAAGGCCATCCGTGCTATTTTACCCTCTTTCCTATAGTTTATTAGGTATGGCTTGTGGTCTAGAAATTTGAAAGATTTTGGGAACATGTCTGGGTGGGTGACCTTGCTTTGAAAGATCAATCCCCTTCTTTGTTTGCCCTCTCAAGGTATAAAGATGAGCCCATCTACACTTTCCTTGTTCCTTCTAGTTCAAGAATTGGTTTTGATTGGGGTTTGGGTTTAAGAAGGGGACTAAGGTATTCAGAACTAAACAATGTCTTGGCTTTGTTTCATATCCTTGAAGGGGTTTTCTTGGACCCTTCCAAGTTTGATATTCAATTTGAACTCTTTCCCCCACTGGTACCTTCAAAGTCTGACAGACAAATTGGATCCTTTCAAGGGGTTTTCTTGTTCCTTGTTCCTTTATATCCTTGAAGGGGCTTTCTTTAAGGCCTTAATTCAACTGTCCAATAGTTTGGGCCTTTGGGGCAACCTTTCCCTGCTAAGGTGGTTTGGAGTAAACCTATCCCTCCCATGATTGGAGGTTTCTACTGGGAGGTGTTCCTGGAAAAAATAAATGCTTGTGATTTATTCCAAAGAAAAAGTTTA